TTTTTTTTATTTTTTTTTTTTTTTTTTTTTTTTTTTTTTTAAAGTTTAAGTAGTGTAAATAGTATTTGTGTGTCTGTGCACACATGCAGAGGTTCAGTCAGAATGTTAGCACACTTTTTTTAGTGCAAGAGAAGTCAAAAATCAGAAGTCTTCACCTGTAGACTTTGTTTGACGCAAATGACAAGGGCGATACGTTTTCGATCATGCTGCGGGTATGGAACAAGGAAAATGTTCAAGTGTGATGTGCAGTAAAGATAAATGACATTAATAGGGTAGGAATACGATATTTTGAGAATGAGGGGAAAGTAGAGTGATTAGCAATTGGCAATAATATCACCGTGCAGTCCGAAAGGAAGTCACCGTATGACTTGATTTAAGTCTGAGATTGGAGAAAAGGGACAAAAAATCTGGCCACTGATATGATTCTTGCCGCACATTTTACAGGAGAGATGTCTGAAGCTGTGGCTCGTTTTAGTGCCATCCAGGGTGGGTCAAGATTTTTTTCCGCCGCCTCCCAACAAAAAAAACAACAAACATCTAAAGTGTGCCGAAAATGCTGCCTCTTAATATATGAAAAAGTGCCCGCCCGGGACGGATTATCCCATCCACACCCCCTTTACTACGCCACTGCATGAATTCCTTTATTTAAATCTTAAAATGAAAAAGGGGGTAAAAACAATAATTAAATATATTATTAAAGTTTAAAAGGTGTTCAACTAATCTTCACGTTACGACATTTAAAGTCGAATTAATATCTATGGAAACAATAAAAATGTTTTTTTTTAAAAATATAATACAGTTTCGCTTGTCAGTGGTTGACATATTATTCCTAAGTTATTTTTATATATAGGGCCTAACTTACCCCATTATAGGCCTATATTTCATGTCTTTAAGTAATAAATTCATAAAGTATTCTATTTTTTTGTGCAACTAGCAAATAATAAATTATTGAATTATTTTTTAACAATTTGAATACAGGGCGTTGTTAATGGTTTTCTAGGAAACAGTCTTGGTCTTGAGATTTATTTTTATACCATCGGAAATCTAAATGAAAAATGAAAATGATATCGACATTGAAACTGAAACAAATCACTTGACAAAGAAAATGATGGCCCTTTTACTAATGCTTCCCATTTTCAAAATTGAAATGAAATTAGTAGTAGAGAAATTTTTACCTTAAGTTTTAAGTTAGTGATTCACTCGCATAAAAACACTATTGCAAATAGACTTACACTTACAGAGTTATTTTAAATCAGAAAAGAAACTAAAACTGCTAAGTAATGGGAATTTCCGATAACTTGTTTCTCGCTCCGTTTGACGTTGTCCTAACTTGCCGTACTATGAAATTGATTTTTAAATATTAGAAATCATAATTCATTATTGGATAATGATTTTTAGATTATACGATATGTCTTTTAAATTTATAAAATAAAATAATGAAGGTAATAAAACTGTAGCGCTTAAAGAAAAGACTATCTTAACATTAATGGAAATTCAATGCATCCTTACTAAGTCTAAGTTGATACTGATATTTCAAACGTTTTAATGGAGCGCTTACCATCAAAAATGGCTTATACTTATAATGTGCGGTGTCTATGTGAGATGCAGCCATAGCAGGATAGTTACTACATTGGTATAGCGCACGTACACACTGGTATATAATCCCCATGTAAGAATTCGGTAGACGGCTGTATGTTCAACCCTCACAATATCATGGTTACAAGTCGAATTGACAAAGCTAACAAGTGATTAAAACACTGCCTAATATGAGAAATGAACAGAAATCTTCCATTATAAAGGCGCATTAGCTTATACTTACAAAGCGTCCAATCAATAGGGTCGGTGAACAATGGCACACTTTTAGGGATGTGATTAAAACGTTGAATGTTTAAAAAACTTATTTGCGCGCACTATAAATAGGGTCGCATGAACCTACCTGGGAGCATCTACGTCACACATCGACCAGCCTGTCTATTACATAACCTCTTGCAGATTTTCCGCAGTAAATTGACAATCCCTAGAGACTCCAAAACGAATAAAAGTCAAAATCCCAGACCAAAACCCTGAAGACTTGTAGGCCTATGTGTCTGTTCAAGTTCTCTCTCGGCTATCTAAAAAACACTTTCATATTTATACAAGTTAAATGGTCTTTGAGATATTTTTAATAGATGGGTTTGGGACCCCCTATTTTTAATAGATGGGTTTGGGACCCCCTATAGATGAATGTGAAAACTCCCTAAACTGCTTAATACTACAATATCATCTACAGATGTAGACTTGAAAATATACTAAGATATAGAGAATAAAATCCACTTACCGAAAATGCATAATAAACTAAGGTTCCCGAGACATAAATTCATAAATACTGAACTTACACTGAAAGTGAACATTTTTTAAAAAAAAAGGTATAAGCAAGCCGTCGAGCTAGTATATTAGCTCTTTATGCCCTCCCCAAAGAACACCACTACCCCCCAAGCTCGAGTTCTCAACCATGGTCCCGAGCCAGATGGGGCCCGTCCTTTTTCGAGTTTTTTTTTCTCTGTCAGCTGCCTGGGACCCGGAATTTTCTAGGTGCAGGCCTATGAAACGAGTGAATATACAAACAGGGCCGCGTGGATGGGTGGAGGAAAAAAAGAGAGAAAAAAAGGAGGAAGTGGGCACTCACCCCCTGGCGCGAACATCAGAAATCGGTCCACGGGCCAGAATGGAGTATCCCTTGTCTTGACGCAAACTGTTAAGTGTGATGGACCGGAACACACGTTTCCCACCGCATAAAGGATAGGTACTGGAGTTATTCATTTTTTTTCCTTCTGCTTCTCTGACATTAAATATGTAAACAAACGAACAAAGAACAAAAAATTAGGTATATTTATTTGAACAGCATGTGTCCAAAAATCCCGCCGTGACTGGTAGCTAGTAGGCCTATGTCGCTACCGCAGTGTTAACGAAATTAATGAGTGTGTAACTGAAGTCTACATAAAATAGAGCCATTATTGAAGTGGTTGAGCGTCCAATCTCAGGAATTGTATATATTATGTAACACTAAATCAATGGAAGTTTCTATGGCTGTGGAAGAAAGGGTCACACAATTCTAAGTCAGGTGGGGCTACTGGGAGTAGGCCTACATTACTACTAAGTCATTAAAATAATTCGTTTATAAAACAAGGAGACGGACTATTACCGTGTCTTAGTTGCTGTGCTATTGAGCATCTTTACATATTACTTTGCTTCAACAACAGGCCATCACTACATAAATTATCCTGATATTAATACTGACTCTTCACTGGCAATCGAGACTTTTCAAACATGAAACCATATCACAGAGCTGTCCATCATTTTTTACCACGTGGGCAAAAAAAAAATAATTAATAATAATTCCCCGCGAAGTGGAGGGCCGCCAAAAGAAATATTTTTACTTTTTTTTTTTTAAATATTCACATTATTAATACTTCTTATCATGTCATAAATGCATAAAGATCCATATATCCATTAGCATTATCGGCTCATCAAGAATATAAATAAAGCGAATAAAAACTGTATTTTTTAAAACTGATATGCTTTGCTTTGAATCGGATTTGCCATTGTCCTACCTTGAGGGAGTTATCAGTAACACACCTGGCCTCTAACAGCTCACGAGGCAAGGCGTTAGGTTTTGTTGGTTTTTTTTAAACGTGATGTTGGACATCTAGAGAATCCAGCTTCCGTGGTGCATGGTGCTTCCAAGAACTTGGTTAAAGTTTTGTTATAATTCCATAGTTGCGGAAATTCACCAGAAGAAACGTAATATGTCAACAATTATTTATTTGGTCGCGCATTCTTATGTTTGCTTATAAAAAATAAAAAAAATAAAAAACCTTTCAAGAATCGTTCCCGTTGTCTCACACAATTCCTCCTTGACTGAATTGCACTGTCTACTCACTGAACATCTCTAATGACTGGGTACTTGTCCCCAACGTCACAATTAGGGATGGACACACACTCTCCCAAACCTGGCTAGACTACCTGTTTAAACAGCATGTACCAGAATGCTCAACGTAGTCATTCGTTTGTGACACCTTTAGTACCCCAGCTCCCATCTTGATT